CTGGTGTAGGCAGTACTAAGCTAAATGGACAAAAGGGTTAAATTCACCTTCTTACGTTGCACATGTGAATCACTGTCCACTACATACCCATGTCATAAAGTCTGTTCTCTACCTTCCAAGGATATGCAATATAATATTGGAGACTGAAGCATACTGTGGGGCAGGAAGAACCTCGGGCCTTAGCCACAGGAATAGGGAGATTACTCACCTATATTCCCTTTCCTCTGTCACTCCCAGTTCTCTTTCCCTGACCTCAGAGAGGCACAGAATTCCTTCCTCTGTCATTTACATGGAGCTTTCAAGCTGGACACATGCCCTTTCTCCTTTGACTTGCTTGTCAAAGTCTGTTTCTCACAAGGCAGTGAAATGGGATCACAGGGAGCTGCCTTGTGTTGTTGTTGTTGTTTAGTCGTTTAGTTGTGTCCGACTCTTCGTGGCCCCATGGACCAGAGCACGCCAGGCACTTCTGTCTTCCACTGCCTCCCGCAGTTTGGCCAAACTCATGCTGGTAGCTTCGAGAACACTGTCCAACCCCCTTCGTCCTCTGCCGTCCCCTTCTCCTTGTGCCCTCCATCTTTCCCAACATCAGGTTCTTTTCCAGGGAGTCTTCTCTTCTCATGAGGTGGCCAAAGTATTGGAGCCTCAGCTTCAGGATCTGTGCCTTGTGTTAGGTCAGGCTATTTGTCAGTCTAGCCCAGGTTTTCTCAACCTCGGCCCTCCAGATGTTTTGAGACTACAATTCCCATCATCCCTGACCACTGGTCCTGCTAGCTCGGGATCATGGGAGTTGTAGGCCAACAACATCTGGAGGGCCAAGGTTGAGGACGCCTGGTCTAGCCCAGTAATATCTACTCTGACTGGCAGCAGCTCTCCAGCCTTTTGGGCAGGCCTCTTTGCTATCACCTGTTACCTGGCACTTCTTTTAAATAGAGATGCCAGGGGTTTTTTTGCATGCAAAGCATGTATACCACTGAGCTATGCCCCCTTCCAAAAGAAATATAATTTTGTCTCATGTCCACCACCTTTCATGGACCCTGTTTCCATATTTGGAAGCAAGGTAGGAGTTAGGGATATAAGCAAATGCCTTTTCTGTTCCACCCTCTATTTGACACATTAAATTTCAACCAAAATTCAGTTATTTGTCTTGTTGTCCACTATGAGGAACTTATGTAATTTTTGCTGACATCTGTCTGTCTTGGGAGGCAATGGAGGTGTGCACCTTTGGGGGTGAGTTCAAGCCATTGAAAGGTAGCAGCACCTGCTGTGTTTGTAGAGACTGATGCAGGAGAGACATGTTTTGTTGCAGCTGGGGCAGGTGAAGGCATCCAATAATGCTGCTGCAGATGCACCTTGGTTTTTCTTCTCTCTGCACTCCTCCCAGCAGTCATTTCTCCTCTGGTCACTGTTATTGATACATGACTTGACTGCCTATCTCCAGGCACTGCAGTCGTCTGCAAGGGCTTCTCATATGGCAGGGCTGATGTCGTCAGCCTTCATGTCACGTTTGCAGACATCTATGCAATTAATTACATAAATTGGTTTGTCATTATGTCATATACCATCCCATTCATTTTAATGCAAAGGAAATGCAATACAAATTGGGGAGGGGCATAATCAATTGTGTATCAGTTGTGGACTGAAAGCAACAACAGCAAGTATGGATTGTATTCACAGGTTGAATTCTATTCCAGACCTATGAATAAGCCAACACCAATCCTTTCTGCTTCTGTTTCCATTTTTTTAAAGGAATTCTCTGACATCCCTAGTGAGGATGCTACCTGAATCTTCACCATGCGTTTTGGATGATGGTTCTCACACCCTATTGAAAAAGCTCACTTTATTTTTAATCAGGGCAATGTAGCCATTACCTTTAGCAATGCTAATTGATTTATTGTTTAATTAACAGATTTTATTTGAGACTAAAGCTGAGCCATAGGTTTGTTTTGGGGGGGTAGCCAACTTTGATATACTACTAATAATAAATAATAGTAAATTTTTATTTATGCCCCGCCCTTCCCGGTTTAAAAACCTGGCTCAGGGCAGCTAACAGCAAATATAAAACATTGATTAAAATGGGACTTTAAAACAGCATGAAACACAACATAAAATGCAGCATCAATAACAAAAGAAAATTCAAAAATTCAGGGGTCACTTGGGGGGGGGGATCCCAGTCACTAGACATCAAATGATCACCAGGGCTAACTGGCCAAGTTGGTCCTAGTAGGACCAGCAAGGAGACCAGGGAAGAATTTAAATGTGGGGTCCCAGAGAGGGTTTCTTCATAAAAGAGGAAAGGGGAAAGGGGAATAGAGGATCAGGCTAATTCAAATTGAAGGCCAGGTGGAATAGCTCTGTCTTACAGGCCCTGCGGAAGGAGATCAAGTCCTGCAGGGCCCTAGTCTCGTGGGACAGAGCATTCCACCAGGTTGGAGCTGTCACTGAAAAAGCCCTGGCCCTGGTGGAGGATAGTCTGGCTTCCTTAGGGCCCGGGACCTTTAAGCTATTATTATTCATGGACCTTAGGGTCCTCTGTGGGACATACCAGGAGAGGCATTCCCATAAGTACAAGGGTCCTAGGCCGCATAGGGCTTTAAAGGTCAAAACCAGCACCTTAAACCTGGCCCTATACTCCACTGGGTACTGTATGTAGCATTGGGATGTCATCCTGCTTCTGACATGGTCCTCTATATGCTGTGACTAATGTAGAAAGGAAGCAGCAGCAGCAGCCATGGGAAGCAATGGCACCAAACCAGGTTGAGAAAAGGGGAATATCTACACAATCTGTGGTCAGGGGCAGGGCTGGACTCAGACTTTGGCGGGGTTTGGGGGTGCCTTACATCTGACAACCCCCCCCCAACTGCATGCTTTCTCTGTTGTTGCACCTCTCACCACTTTTCTTTGGACCTCCAAGCATGCTTCAGCAATGAATGGGTGGCAGAATTGGAGCTACATTCAGCTCCCAATTATCATAGCCACTTGTCATCTTAAGCGATTTAGATTATAGATCTGCTTCATAGATCTGTGGGCTGGCTGTAGGCCAGGGCACTGCAACTTAAGGTGCTAACCACAGATAGGATTAGAGCTTAATTCAGAAGAGGTGCTGTTTCCTGCCACTTAAAAGCACCTAGAGCCCTAGTAAATGGCAGCATGGCCAGATCAGGCTAGTGATGGGCCCTTGGGAATCCATGGTGCCTTCAGCCTGTGCCCAATCTGGTTGACTGCTGGCACTCGGCCCTGTTTAGTCCACCAAAGTTACTTTAACTCTAGTCTTGTGCTGTCCTTCACTCTTCTGCAACCCTGCTTTGAATAGAGCAACAGAATCCTAGAGTTGAAATAGGCATTGAAGGTTGATTAGAAAACCAGTGGCTACAGCATCCCTGGTAGGTGGTCATCCAGCCTCTTCTTAAAACCCTTTTAATGAAAGAGAGTTGATCACTTGTTCCAGTGTCAAAACAGCTTGTGGCTGCGGTGTATGTATCCCGTTAAAGATCTGGTGTTCCTACTTTTCACGGAGGCACATTTTACAAGTGGGAAAAGTAATTCCTGTGGATAAATTGGTAAAACACTGTAAATGGAAAGCAGCTCTATAAATGCAGACAGTTTACTTGTTTACTTACACTTTACAGTTTACTTAAATCGGGTGTGCGCGCCTGATTTAGTTTTTAACAACCCATTTAGTGCCCTTGAGTTTGATATTCCGCTCCCCTCTTCTCTTCCCCACCATTACTTCCTTCCCCCTTCGTGACATGCCTTTCAGATTGTAAGCCTGAGGGCAGGGTCTGTCTTGCTTGTTGTTGATCAAGAGCGAGCTTTTAAAATCTTTAAATGAATCAAGAAAATGCCTCATCCAAATGAGAATATTCTGACACAACATAATAAATACTTGCATTGAAAAATCTGTTTTGTGTGTGTTTGTTTTTTAAATCAATGCCTTTTTAGATGGTGACAAGTTGGTCACAGGTGGCAAATCGTGGGCTGTGCCAAGAGCTTAATTTGGGCCTGCGTTAGAGGGAATTTAAGATGTCAGGTTGTACAGACCTGGTTAGAAAGAACTAGCTAAGCAGTTACCTGCAAGGAACATGATGCACAGTGTTCCCTCTTTTTATAATTATTGCTGTGTCCTTTTTAAAAAAGGGCTTTTTTAATTGAAGCTTTAGAAATCTACACCTGTGTTCCAATTCCCCTGTAGTGATGAGTCACGCATCAGGTCTTGCTGAACTTGGATCATACAATATGAATTGGCTTTAATGCGAGGGAACATCTGCTAATGTAAGCAGTCTCTCCTTGCATGAGTAGTATAACATGGGAGAAGCTGATTCATGGAAGGTGTGCCTTCTATGAGCAGGGCACCCTGGGGAATGCAGATGTCTCTGCTCTCAAAAGCAGCCACTGCGTTTTCAGTAAAGTTAATTTCACTGATGCTGCTCTGCTTACATGATTATGTTTTGATCCCACCCTTCTTCCAATAAGCTCAAGGTGCCTCTGTTGGCCCATATTTGTTATCTTCAGCAATCTGTGGGGTGCAAGGTCACCTCATGGCGGTGAGTCTCATAACTGCTAACTTGAATAGCTTTAAAAGCAGAGTAGACAAATTTATGGATAAGGCTGAGTTCTGCCATCACTATTGCAGATAGCATGCCTCTGTATTACAGAGAGTTGTGACTGGGGAGATCTCCTCACTCTCTGACCAACCACTTTAACCACTATGCTAGTGTTTTTCAAACTTGTATACATATATAGTACAAAGCAGTGTTCTTCAGTCTTTGTTCCCCATGCATTGTTGAGCTACATCATCTCCTGCCGGTGTAGCCAGTGGTCAGGGAAGATGAGAGTTGAAATCCAACATTTGAAGACCTAAGTTTGAAGAAGACTGCACTACACCAGAGTGGATCTCATGAGTAAGCCACTCATACATATAATATCCTGGAATGTACACATTTCTTTTCATCTGATGAGAAGTCTAACTGAAACTTGCTGCTTAAAATCTTTTCTTATCATAGGCAGACTTATGCTGGTGCAATATGAAGCTGCCACATCGGTGGATTATGAGTGCTGGCAAAGTATTCATCCACATATGGAAAACCAGATTACATCTCAGCATGCACTGCATGGCATCCCTGAGAAACAAGTTTGGCACAGCCATCCACATCTTCATGTTTGCCTGGAGGATTGGAGAAGATAAATGGCCCTGCGTGACTATAGATGCCGCCATTCATTAAGTGGGCTAAAAGAACATGAGACAAAGGTAGCTTTGCAGCTCATCACCTAAAACTAAAGTCAATGTGAATTTGGAAGGACCCGGCTAGGCAAAAATAGCTGTAGGAATTTCAAGGCGAGTCTATATTAATTTTGGTAAGATTAGTTACATTTGGGTGGTTGTTGTGTGTCTCTAGGCAAACTCTTGAGATAATAAATGTTCAGGGTATATCTTGCAATAGCAAAAGGTGTCAGCTCCTTCTTGTTCTTCCTTGAGTAAACATGGAAATGAAGGTGGCCAGCCTGTGTATGTTTTGCATCAATGCATTCACTTGAAATGTTGTTGTGAGAATAATCCAGTGGCAAGTGCTTAACCCCTGATGTGAGGGGGTTAAGATGCACAACAGCATTTCAGTATGCATCTCCCTGATGTCCCTTTCAAACTGAAGGAGAGAACTACCGCTGCTGCCTTCGCTGCCTACCACACACCCATCCTAATCTCTAGGCACATACATGTGAACTCCAGACAAGTCCTAAAATTATATATATCCATTAACAAGAGTCAGGGTGTTGGTGGCAAGTCTAAATCTGTGTTCCCTACAGAGGATGTCTAAGTATGTGTGTTGGAGACTGCGAACTAATTTATTGCCTGTGTGGACTGCCTACTTCTAAACAGGATTCTTTTTGATATTAAAATTTCTTTCCCTGGAGAGGCCTGGTGAGCAGAAGGAAAGGCTGGGTGGGAAAGGAATTCACCCACCCAGCACCCACCTTCTCCTGCAAAGATGCAGCCACCTGGTAGATCCCTTTTTTGCCATTTCCCCTTCTTCCTACCCACACCTGCTTCTCCTTCTTATGTCCAGGTTGCCCCTAGAGAGTCACAGATCACTTTGGGATGCCCAATATAACCCTCAATGATCTGTCTCAACCTGACTAGACTGATGCCTATAGTCCCTAAAACCAATTTGATTTGGAACTTGGCCAAATCCAGTGCTCAGACCTAATATGCAAGCACACTGCCGTTGTGCACTGCAGGATTGCTGTGGAGCTTGGCACAGTGTTGCCATCCCAGCCCTGTGCTTCTTCATGGGATACCCAAGTTTATCAAAATGAAAGGGAGGTGATCTCAGAGTCACCCAGGAGCAAATGAAGAATCATTTGCACCAAGCAGGGCTTCTGGTTTAAATGCAACCGCTACAGGCACTTCAGCTTGGAAAGTGTTCCCTAAGAGTTAGAAAGTTTGAATGGGAGGAGGCAGACACTGATTTAGAGCAATGAGCCCAGCACAAACAAGGGTGGGTGGGAAACCGCCTCGCTTCTGTAACACTGTTAGAGAGCACAGGCTATTTGCTGCACCACGAAATCTCCTAATCTGATTTTAATGGGCATATCACAAAACCCCGAGTGTTTGAACAATGTCGTACATGTGGGCCTTGGAGCCTTTATTCAGATATTTTTTTCCCTCTCTCACGCCTCTCCCCTGCCCCACCCGCCATGAAAGGGAAATGAAGATGAACACACATGGCTGCATCTTTGTGGAAGAGGGAGGGAGGCAAATAATCCCCCTGAGTCCCAGATCTCTTCCTCCTCCTCAACCCTCCTGCTTCCATTTACGTAGGAGTGAGCACGCTAATTCTGCAAAGCTGTCATTACCGGAGCAGCTTTGACAGGTCCATATTAAAGCACTGGAGCTGTCAGGAACATCTGATGGGCTGCCTGCTGTGGAGTGCCACTGTTTGGAGTGATCCAGTGAGGATGTAAGATGGAGGAAGAGAGCAAGAGAGGGAATGGAAGTCTCTTAACTGTGGGTATCGAAAACTCTCTAGCATGTGGCACAGGCAGCAGGAATTTGTCGCATGCCTGGGCAGGGGCTGGAAATCCCATGTGTCTCAGTGTGAAACATTATTTGTTATGGCCATATATAACCCACCCTTCAACACATACCCCCAAGGCAGCTAACAAAACAAATTTAAAATAATAATAAAAAGCCATGGACTGCTATATATCCTAAAACTGTAACATAAGATTAAAATCAAACCATGAAAATAACACCTGTTTAAGGTGAGCAGTAAAACTTATTGAGAGAAAATAAATACATTTGTCTGGAGTAGGTGGTGCTGGAGTAGGTGGAGTGGGTGGCGCTGTGGTCTAAACCACTGAGCCTAGGGCTTGCTGATCAGATGGTCAGCGGTTCAAATCCCCGCAACGGGGTGAGCTCCCATTGCTCAATCCTAGCTCCTGTCAACTTAGCAGTTCGAAAGCATGTCAAAGTACAAGTAGATAAATAGGTACCACTCTGGTGGGAAGGTAAACAGAGTTTCTGTGTGCTGCTCTGGTTTCGCCAGAAGCATCTTAGTCATGCTGGCCACATGACCTGGAAAAACTGTCTGTGGACAAACGTCGGCTCCCTCGGCCAGTAAAGCGAGATAAGTGAATGCAACCCCAGAGTCGTCCGCGACTGGACCTAATGGTCAGGGGTCCTTTACCTTTACCTTTCAGGGAGGACATTGAGAAAAGTGCCAGGTGAGCCTCACTGGGGTAGGTAGTCCAGAGGTAGGATGTCTCGACTCACGGACCCCTCTTCCTGGTAGCCATTTGCCACACAGCCCACACCTCACTTAATCAGTGCATACAGAGAATTAGGTTAGTTTAGAGCTAGTCCAGCCCACTCACTTTGCAGGCTGTTTTAGGGAAGCATTTCAGCAATCCTCTTTTGAGGGTGGAGGGAAGTGGAAAATGGGAAGATGTGAAACAAATTGCTGCAGCAGCAAGCAATACTTGAAGTTGCTGCAGCCTGGAAGCAACTCTCCCATAATCCTTTAGTTTCGCTCCCATAATTCTCCTCTGCTTACCACTGCATCATAGGAGAAAATGCCAATCATTGGAAGAAGACTCACTGTTGCCATTTAAGTTGGCAGTGCAACAAACAAGCCGAAAGGTAATCACTGTTTTGTCCTTGGGACATTACCCTTGCCAGAAAAGGTTGCCTGCCAAAGCTTTACTGTATTGCCAAGATGATGGTGTGCCCTGCTGGACGCTATAGTGAGTGGAAAGAGACCTTGGATTGGAGGTCAGAGACCCATGGGAGCAAAAAGATTACAACCTGACATGGATGTAAGCATCACAGCAGAATCAAAGAGCCTGCTTTGTGGATATATTCATGATTAAGTTGCAAATCAAGCAAAGTATTTTAAGAGCATTTGTGTGGGTTACTTTTAATATCGCATGATAGCCAAAGATAGAGCTGTTCCTGAGAATAAACCCAACAGGAGGTCCAGGAAAGCAGGGAGCTAGTGCCTCTCCCTCTCCAAATGGTGCCCCAGAAACAGCTTCCCCTTCCCTTCTAGAAAGGATGAGCCCACCAGGTCTCAAACTGGCACCTGCAGAGGGAGAAGACACAGTGCTCTCCAGCTGTCTCAGAACAGATTCAGAAATTCTGCATTTATCTAAACTGTTTTGGCATGGGGGAGGGGAGCACAGTAGCCACTCTTGAGCTGATATTTGCTAGATGTGGTGGTTCTGGCCTATGCCACGGATAGCCAATGTGGTGCTCTCCAGATGTTTCTGGACTACAGCTCCCAACATCAGCTGAGGCTGATGGGAAGGGAGTCAAACAACAACTGGAGAGCACCGTATTGATTACCCCAGCCTCTGCACAATCATTCAACTCTGGCCAAAGGAGGAAACTGCAGTGAGCTGTGAAGGAACCCTCCTAGTATTGATTTGCAACACCTACCATAGCTGATTTGTCCAAGGCAGCATGGCCACTGGTCAGGGATAATGGCAGTTGTAGTTCAGGAACATCTAAGGCAGCCTTTCTCAACCTGTGGGTCCCCAGACGTTGTTGAATTACAACTCCCATCACCCCTAGCTAGCAAGGCCAGAGCTCAAGGATGATGGGAGTTGTAGTCCAACAACATCTGGGGACCCACAGGTTGAGAAACACTGATCTAGGACATTATCTCCCAAACTTGGATGTCTACCTGGTTTTGGAGTACAATTCCCATGGTCCTTAGTCAAGGATGATGGATGTTGTGGCCCAAAAACAGCTGGAGACCCAAGTTTGGAAAACATATGTGATACCTTGTTGACAACCTCCGAGCTACAGTGAGGCAGGTGGTACTCCTAGATTCTCAGTCCAGATCACATTGTCATATCCAGGTCAAACCTGCCTATGAGGCTGTCTGGCTGCTGGGTCTGTCAGCAGAGCAGAAACTGGTGCTATTATTGTCCTCAACTTTGCCTACCAGGACACCAAGCAGCCTCGTTCATTGTGGCAGCCAGAGCCATTTTTATTTCTTATATACATAAAAATGTGTGGCTGTTGTCTCCCTGCAGTGTGATGACGGGGTGATGACAGGTTGGTAGGCAGCCCAGGTGAGCTGTCTGATGGAAGGGGGAAGCATTCCATAGAGCTGTTTGGCATACCACTCTGTAAAGTGTTAGCCACCGCCTCCATGAAACATGGTTGCAATGAGGTTTAATGGAGGGGGGAGATGCCTCAGAAAATAGCTCTCTGAAGAACTTCCCTTCTTTAAAAAGGAGTAAGGGGTGAACTGTGAGGGGATGTGCTTTGGGGAAACTGATGAGGTGACAAGGACGAGGAAGAGGAAGTGACGAGGTTTGGTCAGGTGTAAAGGAAGGAGGGGTTGGTCAGGTGTGGGGGAAGAGGGTTGGCAAAAGGGTTGGTGGGTCAGTGAGCAAATGTATGTATGTATATATTTGTAACCATGGCTGCATCAGTCAGAAAGAAGGCCTGTAGTACGGCACTGATGGAGTTAAACTAGATTGCAAATACATTATTTCAACAATCTGAATATGCCACAAGATTTGTTTTTTTCCCTGTATGTAAAAATTGAGATACTGCCTCTTCAGGGGATTGATTTTTCCCCTCCCCCAGCCCCCCTCGAATTACTCTGTCTTTGTCTAGGCTCGAAGTGAAATGATGCTTAATGGCACATTAATGAAAGCATATTAGCTAATAAC